GCTGTGTGCCCCGGCCGCGCCCGCCCAGGGGGACAGCTCTCCCTCTCGGCCCGGGCAGGGTGCACACGCTGCCAGCACCCCAGGGGCCGGCCCAGCCCCAGAGCCCCGTCCTTCTGGGGACCCAGGGCTGCCCCGGCGGGAAGGCTGAGGCAGGAGGGAGCGCGCCTGTGCCTCCCGGCCCTGCTCCGGGGCCTGCAGGGCCCCTGCCGCCTCCTCGCAGGCCCTGGCTCTGGCCCTCGCACCCACGGCTGGGCTGCAGGCTGGGGCTCGGCCGCGCTCCGCCTGCGAGCCCTCACCTCCTCTCAGCCTCGCCAGACTCGGGCGGGCTGTCTGACCTTTCACCTCGCACAGTGAGAGATCCGACAAGCATTCATTCCATCCTGTCTTGACCCGGCCTTTCGTAACCAGACACCTTGCGTCTTCCTCCCATTGTCCCCAAGTCTCTGATTCTCATTGCTTTGATTCTCGTCGTCCTAGGAAATATTTAAAATAACAGTTGAGTAGCTGTGTGGTACCTTCTCTCCGAATCAATTGAAAAGCCCGTTGCTATGCAACCCTGGAGTGTGGTGATGCTCCGCTCCCTGGCTGATGGCATATTGTATAAAATAAGATAATCTCTTTTCTTCTGCTTTTTTTTTTTTAAGAAATGGAGAAAAATGTTGTTTTAGGAAAAACTTGAGATAACTCAGAGGCTTCTCATGAGCTGGAAGACAAATAACATGTCACTCACACAAGTGCCACCAATTTTATCCCTGCTGGAGCTGGGGCCTGGGGACAGGGGAGAGAGGGAGGGAGCAGAAGGCAGGAGCTGGTCTATTTCTGTCACAATTAGAAATGAACGCAAAGGCTGATACACATGCAGCCGCTCTGCCTAGGACCAGGTCATGGCCTCACAGCACCCCTACGCGGTTCACCCTGCCCTGAGGGATGCGGCTGTCCTGCTCCTGGCTGCAGCCCCTTTGGTTCTGTCGGGCTTTGCTTACCCCAGGGACGGGAGCCTCCTTCCTCAACAGGAAACTGAGGCCCCTTGCAGGGCACCTCATCCGAACTCATCCTCGCCGCGAGCTGCTGTCCCGTGCCTTGTGCAGACGGCCTGGTTTCAGCTCCCTCCAGCAGAACAAGCGAAGCCCATTCCCTCAGCTGGGTGCCCCTGGCCCTGGCCCCAGAGCTCAGCTGGGGTGGCACCTGCCCAGCACCTGCCCCACACCTACCCCACCTGTCTCCTTCCTTCCCAGCACTTGCACCGGCTCGCTGCCTGCTCTGCGAGCTCCGCGGAGCCCCAGCCACTCCTGGCCGAGGCTGAGCTCAGAGACCTGACCCCCTCTTCTCCTGGCCCATGGGCGCCCTGGGACCTGAGTGCGGCCGCAGAGTTACACATAGTTGAGCACGTGACAGGGACAGGGACCGTATCCACATGAGCTAATTACGGAATTAAACATGTTTATCAGCCCCCCTGAATTGAGTGAAATTTATGGAATTTAATCATAAAAGAGCAGGGTTGGGTTTCTTTTTATATCCCGCTCTTTGTCACATTTGCCTTTTCTAATAATTCATTTGAAACGTGTTTTCGGAGGAGCAGTCTGCCGTGGAAGGCATGGGAGGCCTGCGATGCTGAGCTGCCTCTCAGGCCAGCCGAGTGCCTGACCCTGCAGCCACTCTCATGGGCCACCCTTTCTCCTGTGTCTGCGGCCCCAGGGTGAGTGGTCTTTCCTTTACCACTCGGCACTGCTTCTCAAACCTGCATCTCAGGCTGTCAGCTTAAGCCACTGAGTGAACAGCAAGCACCAAGCTTCCTGCCCTTGTTTGGATCTGGAATGTTCCCTGAAGGCCCGTGTGCTGCAGGCATGGTCCCCTGGGTGTCAAGGTGGGAAAGGGAGGTGGGAAAACCTCAGGACCTGGGGCTGAGTGGGAGGAAGTTGGTCCATTGGGGCGTGGCCTTGGAGGGGATAGACTCCGCCCCTTCCTGTGTCGCTCTGCTTCCCAGGCCAGGAAGTAAGCAGTGTCCTCCACCCTGTACTTATGCATTTGTTGCTTTGGTCCATGATAGCCCAAAGCAACAAGAGCCAAGTGACCATGCGTTATGACCTCTGACCTTTTCACCATTTAAGTTGTTTATCTCAGGTATTTTGTTACAGTGGTGGAAAGCTAACACCCCCACACATACACGCTGTGACAGTTCACTGATTATGTCAGCCGGATGAGAAAAGCCCAGCTAAATGGAAGCAGCATCGTCTGGATGTGATGACACAGCTGAGGAGGACTGTCTCGGAATGGCATGAAAGGGAAATGAGGAAGGACTCGCTTCTGTCTCTTCAAAGGTGCTTCAGTCCTCCAGTCTCTGCTTTCACCCTGGGTGTCATCTTCAGGCTTCTAACACAGACCCTTCAGCTGAGGACCATCGAAGACCCTCAGCCTCCGTCATGTCCACCGTCGGGACACGACGGCGAGCTCTAGGCCTTGTGCTGGATCCTTCGGATGTCCAGTGCGCAGACAGACCCTCTGCACTCTTCCGCACCCAGCAGTGCACGGCCATCGTAAGCCCATCTGTAAATCCTTATTATTTGTACATCTTGCATTAAATCTGTTTCTCTAGTAAGCACTGACATACACACACCCATGACTCTTACGAGGCAGGAAACAGAGGCTTCCAGTCCTGCCCCGGGATAGGTGGTGCCAGCTGGATGCCAGTTCCCTCTGTCTCCATTGACGTCTGGTATAGAGTTGGGGCATGCAGAGCCCCATGGGGACACAAGAGGGACACAGGAGGGGGACCAGTGGAGATGCTTATCCAGGTGCTGGAGTCCAGTTAAACAGTACTGTCGGATGCTCTGAGGCCTCAAGGATTTTTTTTCTGTGAACTAGTTTTTATTGAATTAAACATGCACTCTTTTGCATGTGAAAACCATGGCTATCATGATAATTAAGAAAATTCCGTAAAACACAAAAAGGAAATAACAATTCCTTAGCCTATGGTCCAGCAATAAATACTGCTGACAACTTGTGTGTGCAATCTCTCCTGCACACAGACATGCACACAAAGCTGAGATCACACTGGAAAGTGACATCCAGCTTCTCAAAAAATAAATAAGCAAATAGCAAACTTAACTTTATGCTGTTACCATTTCCTGATGTCTTTGAACATGCTTTGAAAATGTGATTTGCCAGCAGCCTAAGATTCATCATGATTCGTTTAACTAGACCTCTGCTATCAGGTAATATCAGTTAATTCCTGTTGCCTGCATTTAGAAATAAGAACATGACAACTGTCTTGTCCCTAAAGCTGGGTTCACAGCTATGAACACCGCTTCAGGAGACAGACAGAAATGCATGACCAGATGCAAGGCATCAAGAACTTCCCAGAGGCAATGATAACGTGGTCATGTTTCCTCCCGCAGAAGCGAGTCTACTTGTTTATACTTAACTACAAGAGTGGAGAATTCATTCATCCAAAACAGCAGAAAATACCCCTTCTTATTCCTACAGGGCTGGCATTTATATTCTTTTATTTGTGTACTAGTAAAGTTAGATATTTTTACATATGTTTTCTTTTAGTCATTTGTACTTTTCATTCATTAACTACTTACTTCTTTTGCCAGTTTTGTTTTCCTGACGATTTATAATAGTTCTTCACATATTAGGGCATCCTTGTCATATTGCAAGTGCTTTCTCTGATTATTATTTGCCTTTCATTTGTGTGTAGTGGAAGAAGTTTCATATTTTAAGTATCCAAATATACCTATCTTCCTCTTTACAAATCCTTGCACTAGATTTATGCTTAGAAAACTCTTGACAATCAGCAGTTTGTGTGATTTAGTTGAATGTTATGGTAACTTATATTTACCATATGATGATATAGTTAACAGCTTGTTAAATTTATTTTATACTTATTTGTAATGCTTAATAACCGTTCCATTTTTATCAAAAGTTAAATTATCTATAGGAAGGGAATTTCAGCCATTTTATTCAACTGATCTATCTGTTCATGCTTATGCAAATACAGTGTTACTTTAATTACTTTTTACATCACAAGATGTTTGGAGCAATTCTCTTTCCATTTGTGGGGCTTCCAAGGGTTCCTCAGCCATTCCTGACTGTTTCTAAATAAACCTTAGAGAATCATTTTATCAGACTTCCAATTCTTAACCTGGGGAAAACCAACATTTCTTCCATAATCTATCTCCCCAGAAAGAGCAGCATGTATTTCTTCATTTATTTTCACTTTCTCCTACCAGTAAAAATGTGAAATTTTCTTTCTGTAGTGCCTGGACTGTCTTGCTAGCACCATGCCAGGTGCTTTATATGTTTGGTTACTGTCATACAGGCATGTTTTCTCTCTCAGCTACACAAAGCACCAGGCTGTTGCTGGTTCAAACCCGAGCTACTGATTTTTGTATGACTATCTTATATGCTCACACACCACATAATGATGTCACAGCCAATGACAGCCATACACGCTGGTGTCCCACGGGCTGGGTCACCCAGTGCATCCCTGGGGTCACAGACACAACCATGAGATCATCCATAATTCCTTTCTCAGAATTTGTCTTGTCCTGAAGTGATGCCACCAGACTTTGTTATTAACTCTACATATTTCACAGTGCGTTCTTTTGAGTTTTCCTGGCAGATCTGCAGCAGCAAACAATTACAATTTTGTCTTCCCTTTCCCGATATTAGTTTCATGTCGCATAAATCTGTCTAGGGTTTCCAGAACCACAGTAGTTTTCCTAGATTCCAATCTTGCTGTGACTACCTCCGGACAGCACCCCTCGGAGCAAGCTCTGCGGAATGTTCCTTCATGAGGACAAGGGCACCAGGGAGAAACAGGCTCCAGGACGCGGTCCAGTCACCGCTGAGAAGCTTGCCGGGCCTGTTCCTACAGCGCGCCTCTGGGAATGCTGCCCTCAGAACACCTGTTTTCCTTTGTTTTACCAGCATTACCGGGCCCCTCTATTTTCCTGTATAAACATCTATTCACATCCAAAGAATCAGCTGTGCAGAACATTTTTTAGGTAAATGTGCTTCTTTTTCCAACTTAACTGAAAATTTTGGTTGTCATGCTACCATCTGTCACTAGTTCCCTCAGATTCTTGAAACAAGCGACTTGCAGCTGCTGTGGAGCCAGCAGCCCTGTTCTGCCGTCTGCCTGGTCACCCCAGGGGAGCCCAGTGCTCCCGCATTCAGCCAGCCCCCACTTCTCAGGCTCTGGGCTGTCCTCCCAGGCTCCTCATCCTGACCTCACCGCGGTCACCTCCACTGGGGTCGCGCCAGGCCCTTCCAGCACCGCGCGGCAGGGAGTGCACCCGCTCTGCTGCGCCAGGCCCTCCTCTCCTGTTCTCAGCTCCTCCCACGCCAGCCTTTCCTGCGCTTTCCCATCAGCTCTGCGTCACTGTCATGAAATACCTGAGGCAGCTAACTGTAAAAGCAGAAGAGGGCTGCCTGGCTCTCCGTGTTGGGAGTTCAAGCTCAAGCTCAGGCAGCCCCCCTGATTGGGCTGTGGTGAGGCAGCTCACAAAGGCAGGAGCAGGAGTAAGAGGAGGAGCGGGCAGGCTCATCTCAGGGCAGCAGAGAGGAGCCCTCCGTGACCCTGCCCTTCCGATTAGCGCCACCTTGGGGACCAAGATTGTAAGTCCCTGTGCCCACTGGCCATTACACACTTGGAGGTGGGGGCCTCCTCAGCAACACAGCTGCTCCAAGCTGCCTTCTCAGGGAGCAAGCTCGCTCCGCAGCCGTGGGGTGCAGGGCCTCTTCCCTCTGTGCACCATCTGTGCTGCTGCAGCACCTCATCCCTGGGCATCTCTGCCTTCCAGCCTGCAGCGGGGTCTCCACACGGACTCCACCTGTAGCTCTCAGCAGTGGGGTCCCCCGCCCCACTTTCTCTGACCCTGAGTGAGGATGGGCTGCGCGGTCTCCCCCTTGAGTCCCAAGCCCGCTCTCAACTGGCTCCGTGTCTGATGTCCCTCCTGGCAGCCCTGGGACAGCCCTGTCCCTGACTATCCCAGCACAGCACTTGGCACATAGAAGCCCTTAGTAAAAATATTTGCCAGCTGTCCGGATTTGTCCTTAGTAAGCTGATGACTGAGTTAGAGGGCCGGATTTCCTGATGTGAACAACTCCCACGTTCCTAGGTGAGCCCTGCTGCACCATGGTAGGAGTTTCTCTTTACACATTATTCAAGCGCACGCTTCATATCTTAAATTTCTTTGTCTATTTTTAGAAGTGGGACACTTCTGTACTTTGTCACAGACATGGTACCTTCGGCAGCTTTAGACATTTGGGTCACATTGGCTACAAAAATGAATTCAGGTTGGGCGTGGTGGCGCACATCTGTAATCCCAGCACTTGGGAAGGCTGAGGCAGGAGGATTGCTTTGAGTTCCAGGCCAACCTGGGCTACACAGTGAGTTCAAGGCCAGCCTGAACTGCATAGCAAGACCCTTTCTTAAAAAAAAAAAAAAAAGACAGAATTAGAGGACTTCAGAGTGGTAGATGAGTTTCTGCGGCGTTGTTTTGCCTTTCATGAACAATTCCTTGAACTGAACAAGACTGTACCAGCAAAAACAGGTGGTCTGCCCATTAAGTGGTAATTTTACGAAAACTTTGCAAATGGTGAAAAACCCAAGTTCCCATCTCAGTTTGGGGATGGAGGGTGTGTCCTGCACTGTGTGGGGTCAAACTTGAAACATTTATATTTCCCTGGGAAACGCTCGGTTTCCCCAGGACCCCAGCTCCCTGCCAGCGATCCTCATGTTCAGACCCTGAGCTTCTGTGACAGTCCTGATGTGACCACACTCCTCACGAAAACAAGAAAGGAAATGGCTCAGGGTAGGGACAGTTCAGTACAGTCTGCCAGGGATGAGCTGATAAAGAAGCCTCTGCAAGCAGCCAAGACTGGAAGAGACAGGCTGTCTTTAGGCCAAATAAGATCCAGGGCTTTGCCAACATCAGCAAACAGTAAACCTCCACAATTTCCGAATTTTTTCCTTTTAACCAGTATAGGAGCGGCCAGGTGGGGAACGCAAGCCAGTCCACAGGGCAGCTTTTCCCTCCTCCTTTCCCCAGGATGTAGGACAGACCGCAGGTGCCATAACCATGGAAGCAATCCAAGTTCTTCACGGTTTTCAAAGTTACCCTAAAATCACCTGTACACAGAGAATCGGATAGGCTATTTTTGCCAGCGCAGAAGTTTTGCTCTGCAGTGCTGCTGTCTTTATGAGCTTTCCGAACTGTCTGCAACTGCAGCCCCAACGTCTCCCTCGCAGCAGGGTTTTAAAGCGTTTCCACATGGACCCGACTGTTTTTAGACCTATAGCTCCTCTCCCATCACCCTCACCATCACATTGGGGGCATTTAATCAGAGAACATGACCTAGTCCTTCTTGCTGTAGAAAATTCACTGAAGTTTCCTCTATAATCTAAATACCCCTGTAATTTTTAAGTGTTCTATGATTCCACAAAAGAAGGCGAACCCTTTTGTATGGCAAGGGGAAAATGACACAGCTACCGATTTTGCAGGATTTGGTGCACGGACTTGAGAGGAGACTCCCACAGTTAGGTTTGCAGCAGTTTTCTCTCGTCCCGACAGGTCACCTTGCAATGCTCTGTGCTGCCTTAGGCCGCACTGACCCAGCACAAGCGTCCTTCCCGAGGCCAGTGTCAGCCTCTTCTGAGCACCGGGCTTTGTGGGTGCAGGAGCAGGAAGGGACCTGCTTTTCACAGGGTGCATTCTGCACCTGGACCCTCACTGCCCTCCGCTTGACACTGGTGCCTGTAGGTTGTGTGCAGTTTGATTTTGGTTTTTGGCATTGAAGTTCTCTGTCTGTCAGCAGAAGCATTTAAGCCTTGACATAATTTCCACACAAGCTATGTCTGATCTTGTCACAAGTGGAATTTCTTTGCACCGAGTCAGACCACGGGTGCAGAATTCGGCCGCAGTTCTCAGTGAGAAGCCCGACTCCTGGGCAGAGGGTGGCATTGGCTGCTCGCCTAGGTGTGCCACTGAATCCCCTTGAGCCTCAGTGTCTTCCTCTGTAGGTGTGCTGTCACAGCAGGCACCACTCCCCTGAGGGTCATGCCGAGCTGGTCCATGCTGGCTGAATCACGGGCTCCTCTTTCTCTCCGTCTCTCTCTGCCTGCACTTCACCTTTCTTTCCACCACTGGTGGCTTTTTACCCTGGTGGCTTTTTACCCAGAGACCCAGGCGTGCTGCTGAGAAGAGGGTTCCAAGCTTCACAGCAAGAGGAGATGGGTCGGGCAGGGGCGGAGGAGCAGAAAGGGCAAGGCAGGAGAGGAGGTGGAAGGGACTCGGTCAGCAGGGGGCGTGTTAACCACGGATTTCTACGCTTTGACCTCAGGAGCTGACCCTGCCCTTCCTAGCACTGGCCAATTCCCAGAGACAGCAATCACCTGTGTGTGTGTCTTTCCTATAAAATCAGCCATGTCCAAGTCAGACCTCACAGCCCCAACCTCCACCTGCCCCTCCCTAATCCCAGGGCCAGGAGCTGGACACCCTGGTGCAGCCTCGCGCTCAGCTCCACGTCACCTGACCCAGCCTCTCTCAGTCTTTTCGGCAGAGACCGCGGCAGCCTGATTCCCTCTGCACTCACAGCGCGCTGCTCTCACGCGGGCCCAGCCAGGTGTGGCTGTGACTTGGAGCTGGGCCGCCCCGGGGCCCCTTCATTCCCAGAGTGGAGGCTCGGGCGTGGCCAGCAGGCAGGCCCCACGCTGTGCTCACTCACCTTCCCGTAGCTCAGCAGGATGATGCGCACCAGGACGACGTTGATGTGGGCCCCCAGCGACTCATCGTGGTAGATTTCGTTGACCTGAAAGACAACCAGGGAGGCCTCAGAGGAAATCGAAGGCCCACAGGCTGTGCAGAGGGCACCGCGACCTGCCCAGGCCCCAGGTGGGAGCCTAGGTCCCCCCCCCACTAGTCCCTCTTGGTCACTTTTCCCCAGCCTGACCACCGAACAACCTCAGCGCCCATCCCGATCTCCACCCCGCCGCCGTTGCCACCCATGTGGATGACAGCAGCTGCCGGGAGGGAGCACGGGAGAGCGGCTGGGACTGTCCCGCACCGGTCCCCTCCTTGCTGCTCTGGCTGTGGTGTCAGCTCTGCACACTGCTGGGACCCGCCGTCCACAGCCCTGCCAGTCGCAGACCAAAGGCACCGGGGAAATGAAGCTGCGGCACACGTGCAGATTTTTTTCCTCCCCACTGTTTCCTAAACAACGTGGTCTAACAACTGTCTGAAGGGCAGTGCTTGCTACAGCACAAAGGTGGGTGCTTCTGTTCTGAGGCTCAGTTCATATCGTTGGCTTCCTTTGTGCTTTACTCTTCTGAGACTGTTTGTTTAATTAGGGCGGGGCATTTCTAGGGGATGTACCAGGGCCTTGGGCATACTAAACTGGTGAGCTCCTGCTCTCCTTGTGTGTTTTAATTTTGCATTTAAAACCATTATTCTGAGCAGGTGTCCGTAGGCTCATGGGCTTCCTCAGATGTCACAGGATCTACAGCACAAAATAGGGGCTGCATTTCCCGCTCCACCACACAGCCGGATGACCTTCCAGAAACACGGGCCAGGTCAGAACCGGTTGGGGCTGCCGGAGGCTCTGTCCCCCAGGCTCCTCCCCACCCTCCTGCTGCACACGCAGCACGTGGGGAACAGCCCCTCGAGCCGCCTCCTTCATGGGCTGGCCAGGCCCTCTTCTTCCTCAGGTCAGCCTTGGAGTTGCTGCCTCCTGACGGAGCACTGTGGCCCTGGCATCTTGAGCTTTCCACCACTAGACTGCGCCGCTCCAGAATCTATACTTTCGTCCTGCACGCCCAGCCCCCAGCACAGAAGCATGAGGCAGGCCCTCGGACATTTTCATCAAAAGAATAATAAATCCATCGGTGCCATCACTGAGCGGGAGGCGTGGACCAGTCTCGCACTGCCGTGTGTGCAGACCAAGCCCAGAGGCCGCTGACTGGACGCCAGATCCCTTCGGGGAGCAGATACAGCCAAGCTGCACCTCCCGGAGCGCTCCGCCCCCTCAGGCCAGGGCCCTGGGTGTGCCGCACCCCGATGTTTAGAATCTGTATCTGAGCAACTGTAACTGCTGCTTACAGACAGGTAGCAAATCACCCACAGCAGGAAGATGCTCCAGAAAATCAGCATTAACAAGGAAATCCAAGCATGATGGATGAACTGAGAGGCACGCGGGGCCGGAAGACAAGGAGCCCAGACCACTGTCACCATTGCTGTGGGTAAAGACGGCACCAGCTGGAGGGCAGAGCGAAGGAGCTGATGGGTCCCCAGCGGATGCCACCACAGCCCAGCTCTCAGCCTGCCATGGGAGCTCCTGCCCAGCAAGCCTACCCTCAGATTATAATCTGGTTCCCTTCCCCATGGCCTTCTTGTCCTGTGGGGAAGGGGAAGATCAGACGGTCCCCGCGACTCAGGGCTGGGGGGTCCCCTTGAGTCCCCTGAACCTGCACCCATGCAGAGCGGTGCTCCTCTCTCCTTCTGGACTGAGCTTTGAACTCGCGCCTGAAGAAGGGAGTAGAGGCAGGGAGAGGACAGATAGCCTGAGAGCCAGGGAGGAAGGGAAAGCAGGCAGCTTGAGGCCGGCGGCTGCTTGAGGTCGGAGAGGGCAGAGGTCCACGTGAGTAGAAGGCGGCCCCAGAAAGCCCAAGAGGAGGCTCCACATGCCCCACAGCAAGCAAGCTGGCCAGCGCGGCCCCGCTCCAAGGTGCATGCAGCAGAGCGGCTGGCAACCCTGAGCTTGGCATTCCGGGCTCCAGAACTGAGAGAGATGACCTGCTGTGGTCTGAAGCCCTGCCGGTAGGATCTTGTCTCCCAGCCCAAAGAGACCAAACCAAGCCCTGTGTCAGGGCTTACAATGTTTGGATCTTGACTCTTCCCCAAGTCCCACGTGCCGAGGGCCTAGACTGCCAGCCTATGGTGAGGTGGAAGAGGCGGGGCCCAGTGGGAGGTGGTGAGGTCACAGGGTGTGCCTGAAAGGGACCCTGGCTCCTGCCTCCTGTCCGCTCTGACTCCTGGCCACTCTGCTCTGCCATGTGCTCCCACCATCGTGTTCAGCCTCAACACAGGCCCAAAGCAATGGGACCAGGGACCATGAACTGAGACCTCTAAAACCATAAGCCAAAATACACGTCTCCTTTTACGCTGGTTCTCTCAGGTTCTTTATCACAGCCACGGAAAGCTGACTGATACAGGGCTTGACCTGACCATGCCGCAAAAGGCTTTGAACAGGAAGAGCCTGAGCAGCTCTCAGGGACCCAGTGACATTTTTGCTCCTATCCTGGGGTTGGGGGACGTCAGACTAAAGAACTAAAGAGAGCGTCGCTTTCCCACTTTTGCACTTTGGTGTATGAATGTTCACCCCAGGCCTGCGGCGAGCGGGTCCTTCCTAGGTTCTCCACAGGACTTCTCTACCTTAGCTGAGCATGGAGTCACCACCTGGAGCCACCATGTGCTCTGGCCTGGGTGCTCCTTCCTTACAGCCCGAGGTGGGTGCCCTCTAGACCCACTTGGGGAGGGAGGCTGAGGAGTGGCACTTAGAAGCAACCAAAATGGCTTCACAATCACGATGATGCTGAGGAGGGCTCTGAAGGAGCAGTGTGGAACCAGAGGGTGTATTAATGCAGAGTCTGCCAGGTGGGACTGGGCTCTCCTAAGGGTGGGGCATTTCTCTCACAAGAGCAGACAAATGAGGACCAGTTAGCTCTGCGAAGTAGGGGTGGTGCTCTGGCAGAGGGAGCAGCACGTACAAATGTCCCGGGGTAAGAAGCATCAAGGCACACCCCAGATATAGATGGGGGCAGGAAGGGCCCCAGAACAGGAGGAGGCAGAGGGCCCTGAGACTGGACCATGCAGGTCAGGAGAGGGACTCCAAATGTGCAAAGAGAAATCAGAGGACGGGGGTCTGGGCAGGGAGGACAGGGACCCTGGGTCTTCTGTGGAAAGTAGAATGAAGGGGTCACAATGAGGAACATTGGGGTTCAGAGGCCGGGATGAGAGGACAGGAGGAATGTGTGAGGAGTGGAGTGATGCAGAATGGGGGGGCACCACCACCTTGGCCCCCCCCCCCCGGACACCACAGGGCCCGCTGAGCCTGTTCACGTCCACTGAACAATGGACTCCATCTAATCCAGTCGGGAGAGAGAAAGCCCTGGAGCTGTTCTCGAAGCACCCAAGGTGAAGGCTACGCGAAGCCCTCGCCCTGTACTCCCAGGGCCTCCCGGGGCAGCCGCAAGCGGTCCGGTCTAAGGTGTACTTCCCGGGACTCTGCCCCTGAAGCCGTGGCCATGGTCGCCCTCCCGCTGTGGGACCAGACCCTGGCCTGGGGCCGGGGCTGGGAGCTCCGCCTGAGCAAGGGGCGGCAGAGGCTCTGGGAAGGACGGGGCTCCATCCTCGTGGGAAGTGGGGAAGGGGCAGGCTGGCCCCACCGGGCTCCCGGGCAGTGTCCGTTCGTGCGGCATGGGGTCCCCAGCTCGCCTGCCCTCCGTCCTCAGCAGGCAGCCTTGCACAGGGCAGGTTGGGCCGCTTCCTCACTCCGGACTAGAGGTTGCCAGACACCCCGGAAACCCCGCTGCTCGCCCCAAGGTCCATGAATGGAGGCACTTCCAGGCCACGCCATGCTGGGCGTGGGGGTGCAGGTGGCCAGAGCCCCTGGGTGTCAGGCAGCAAAGTGTGGCCTGGGGCTGGGCGCTCTGGCCTCTGGAAGCCTGGGATGGGCTAGAGAACCAGGCAGAGGTGGCAGCTAGGGAGCTGGTGGGGCCATGTGGGAGACGCTCTGAGCAGGGGGCCAGGGAGTGGGAGGGCAGGCTGGGCTCAGGGCCTTCGCCGTGGTGCCTGCTCACCGTCTTCCCGGCGGCTGCCCTCCCCTGTGGCACATGCGCCAGGAGATCCCTGACTGGCTGGCTGGGCCCCGTTGCGGCGGAGCCAGACCACAAACGGGACCTGACCCCTCTGTCTGAGTACAGCAGGAACAGAGCCGGCTAGGACGCAGTTTGGGGGATGTCAGGTGGGCGGAGTCCCCAGTGTCCCTGTGGTCCGCTGGCTTGAGGTCCTGTCCCCACAGCCCGGGGCTTCACCAGCCTTTCAGCGTGCGGTGAAGCTGCCACGGCACCCAGGGTCTGGAGCCTTCTGCCCCTGGAGGCCGCCGCCCAGACCCAGCGGGGAGTCAGAGCTCCCCCAAACCAGCCTGGGCTGGAAGCCTTCAGGGCCCATCTGGGAGGCGGGGACCCCAGGAACAATTAGCAAAATCCCCAGGGGACCCAGCCGCAGTGCTTCTGCCCAGGACTGAGCTGACCGATGGGGCAGGGGGAGCAGATGGGGCAGGGAAGCTGACAGACGGAGGCAGAGGCCGCCTCCAGACAGCTCTTCCTCCCACTCAGGGAGAGGCGCACGCTGGGGGGGTGGGGGCTCAGAGACACCCAGCCCATGCCCTGTCCAGTACCAGTCTTCACAGCGGCCAGCACGTGGAGCGGATCTGCCCTCTTCTGCCCTCTGCCTGAAGCCCCCGGAGCCCCCTGGGCCTCTGGAGTAGGTCCCACCCTTCCCAGCTCCCGCGCTCCCCCTGCCTGCATCAGCCCCTTTCTCCCTCGGACCTGCAGTCCTGCCACCTGCAACGGCTGGAGCCCGCAATCCCCACATCCCCCTCCAGACCCTGGATGCTTTAGCTAGCGGAAGGGCATGTGTGGGGAAAAGGGCATAGTAATGAGTGAGTACCGAGTCCTTTCAGAGGAGAAAGGCATTCGCTCCCCGCCCAGGGACTTCCCCTCCGGCTGCACCTGGAGTCCCACTGAAGGCCTC